TGAACATGTATGCATAGCTCAATAGAACGCTTATGAGAGGAAAGGCATTTGTTTTAAGCGGAACCATTTTTCTGCGTGAACCAACTCTATTGATTGAACATACGTTTTAAAGAAGTCGTCTGTATTTAGCCTACAAAAAATGCAGTTTCCAGTGTCCACCACGTGGAGGTTACAATACGGTTTTGGACACCTTGTTTTCTTTTTGTTATTTTTTACTTTTTTTATTTTTTTTGGTTTTGTTTTTTTTATTTTTCATCAGTACGGCTTCGCGAAGTTCTTCGATAATTGATAGAATCTCATTATCGTGGCCGTTGTGACCCGCCTGACGCGAGGCTTCGAGCAATCGGAGACGATCTACAAGTTCGTTGGGATCGTCCCAATGTACGTAATCAATCCTGTTATCGGTTAATGACATGGCGCACGGCAAATCGAGTTTTTTCTTTATACCGGTCCCAAGCTTTTTACCCAACACCAATGGTGCGATGATGTTCTTGTACTTGTGTCCCTTGTTACCCAATACTTGATTACCAGCGTTATGACTACGTCGATAAGCGTTTGTTGTCAACAGAATGCTCTTGTAAGTCTGTACATCGTCATCAGTGCATATACTTTCGTTAGGAAATTTCATAAAAATCAATTCATACAGTCCCGGTGTTCCATCGTATCTTTTCCCATCTGTCATCGTTTTTGTTCAAGGTGATATGTTTGTCACCGAGCATCGTTCCCTCGTCGCTAAAGTATACTCTATACACGACGTCTATGTTGACAGCTTTCTTACCGCTTAAGACGGCTTTCAGATATTTCTGTCCCAAAGGACCATAGTTTGCATGCAGTTTTTCTTGCCCTTCGGATGTTTGAAGCATATGTCGGATGGATGTTACGAGCGGTTCATTGGCAATCTCGAATACTTCTTCGACGGATGGAGCGTGGTCGTACGATAACTCACGCGATCCTGTTATTTCAGATATTTCGTTCAAAGTGGATGGTACAGTTATCGATCTATTCAACGCTGATTTCACAGGCGTGGACGCCTGTATAGGACTATCGTACGAAGCGTTCGGTCGTTTTCGCTTCGGTTTCGGTTCTTCGTCTTTCTCCGAAAAGAATGTTTCAACGTTGATGAGATCCTTCGGTGATTCAACAGTGTTTTCGACAATTTGTTTCAACGGTTCGGTAATAGGTTTAAAGTGTCTCTCCAACGCGATCTCCTCCTCCATTTTACCAGTTTTCAAAGCGCGATACTTTTTACGAATTGAATCGCTCGTTTTCGCAATCTCCATGGCTATCTTCTATGATCTTTGTTGCTGTCCATGTTGCACAGTCAGCGTATCGATGACAACTGATCGCTTCACGGTACCGCAAAGTCATTAAATCCTTTTCTATATCGTCCATTAGCAAGCGCACTGTCCTTATCAATTACAAGAAATCCATACTTTTGCTGCCAACATTTACGACACAAATCGCAGAAATCTTCGTATAACATATCGGTATTGACATGATCGTTGTACACGCGTTTCAGGTTGGTTCCATCCTGCTTAAACAGAATCAATAGATTTGCATTGTCACGTATAAGATGCTTCGGTATCTTTGCATAAGTCTGACAGAGAAGCAGTCAACGTTGGCGACCCATTGCAAAATAATCTCTTATCGCGTTTTGCTTGTCGCATGCCACGTCATCAAAGATAAATATTGAATTCGGAAGCGCCTCACTCGGTGGAATGATCTCGCTGTTATTGGAGAATGTAAAATAGTTTATTTCTTCGATCGGTGCTAATAAATTTTCGAGATATCGATACTTTGGTTGTTGCAGAGATTTCGAGTAGACGTATACATTCTCGAAGCGTACGCCGTTCGGGCTCTCCAACAAACTTATCAGTACATTTGTCTTACCGCAATTCGACGGGCCGCAAATAATTGCGCGAACAGAACTCGGCAGCACGTTGCCATGCTTGCGCATCATTTTATTGGTTTGTACTTTACCGTCAAGATTCGTTACCTTGATAGTTTGCGACTGGTGCACGAACCGCATATTTTCTCGTTCCACAGGAAACTGGAAAAGATTCCGCGAGCGGGCCTATTTATATAGCTACGTAAAGCGTAATCGCTCAGTAATCAAAATGTTTCTCATCGTGTCGAATGATTTAACCTCCAAAGAATTGGAATATATACCAAAAATTGTTTTACTGCGAGAGTTTGAGAATTGTATAGATCTGCTGTGGGATAGACTACCTGAGCATATACGAGCCGATTCGGAGGTACAACGACACCGTCGGTGTCTCAAGCATTACAATTTGCCGAGTCATCAAACGCATATCGACGGTCCAGCGCCGTTGATAAAGAATTGTAGCGAATGCCGTCGAGAGGCAGAGGTTTGTTAAATAAAGCAATAAACGCGCTTCCTTTCGAACTGCACATTCCGGTTACCAGTTTTGTGGACCGGGGACGCGTTTGGAGAAACGATTAGCTAGAGGCGACAGAGGTATTAACCCATTGGACACGGCGTGTCGCGAACACGATATAGCGTATTCGCACAACAACGGTCTCACTGAACGGCACGCGGCTGATAATATACTCGCTGAAAAGGCGCGGAAACGCATTACCGCGAGAGATTCGTCTCTCACAGAGAGAGCCGCCGCCACAGCTGTTTGGGCGGCTATGAAGGCTAAAACAAAGATGGGTATGGGAATGAAAACAAAGAAGCGAAAAAGTAAGAGGATACTTCCGATAGCGAAACACGGCGGTATCCTGCCTGTTCTTCCGCTGCTGGGCATCCTCGAGTCGTTGGTCGGTGGAGCGGCGGGAGTCGCCAAGGCTGTAAATGATAGCAGAGCAGCGGAGCGTCAGCTGGAAGAAATGCAACGTCATAATCGCGTCATGGAAGGTCACGGTGTTTATCTCGCTCCCTACAAGCGTGGACGAGGAGTAGTAAAGAGAAAAAAAAAAACGTCGATGAGACGTTAAAAATACCAACGGGTGTAACTACCAACGTGCAACTGCTACAACTTGCAAAACATATGCGCATTCCGTATTTCAGAGGTATCTTTATGCGTACGACATTACCGGTGGAAGGAGTACATCGAAACGAGAGCGTCAATCTAGACAACGCAGAGGGACCCGGTACGCATTGGGTAGCGTACGCGAAAAGGGGGAATCGTGTCATATATTTCGACAGTTTTGGTAACCTCCGACCGACGAAGGAACTTGAGCGATATCTAACAAACTGTGTAATCCAGTACAATCACATACCTTATCAACGTTACAATCAGAGCAATTGCGGACAGTTGTGTCTACAGTTTCTACGGACGAGTGATAAACAATTTAAAGACTGACATTGCGCGGTTTAACTCAGTATTCGTTCAAACATGTCGCTGACGTTTACGCTGACGGGCAAAAGTAGTGTTCTAGCCGTGAGCTATTTTCCGGCGGTAGATTTGAGCGATGGCGATTACGAGCTCGGTCTAACTGACTTTGAAACGTATTATACTCTACCGAATGTAAATTCAACAAACAACAAGTTTTATTTCGACAATGAGGAAATTGTGATTCCCGAAGGATCGTACGAACTGCGCGATATAGAACGGTATTTGAAGCGTGAAATTTTACGTTCTCGTGGTGTAAAACGTAAGGAGGATGACGAGTATCCACTGGTAATTCGCGCCAACAACAATACGATGAAGAGTGAAATCAAATGCGCATATTCGATAAATTTCGCCAAACCTTACAACATTGGACCGCTATTGGGATTTTCATCGAATCGCGTGCTTGAACCGCAACAGTGGTATGAGTCGGACGTGCCAATAAATATCATCAACGTAAACATTATTCGTATCGAGTGCAACGTGACCGCGGGTGCGTACAGCAACGACAAGTGCGTGCACACGATACACGAGTTTTCACCGATTGTCCCACCAGGATATAAGGTATCAGAAAGGCCGATGCAGATCATTTACCTTCCGATCGTCGTACGGAGCATTACGGATCTGACGATTCGCGTGGTGGATCAAGACTGTCGATTGCTCGATTTTCGTGGAGAGGAGATAACCGGAGAGATTTCATCTAGAAAAAAACTCACTGCGTCCAACGTTGCATTTTTAAAGTCGTTGGGTTTTATCGTACGAAATGGTTGATATCTTGAATATTGTCGGTGAGCCGATCTTTGACGATCGCATCGTCAAGTTTGAAATTCATACGTACAATCCATACGCCAATACGACGTTTGGACATAGCGACGAGATACGAATACCCATACAGCAGCAGGATTTATATACGTAATATTGATATCTGTTGATCGTCCTCAGTCTGCATCTGTTATTTAAAGTTAGTGATTGACTCACACAATTGTTGCAATGTGCAAACTTTTTTTAACCATCTTTTATTTTATCTGATTTATATAATTTTTACCTATTTACAATGTCGACACACAAAAATTTTAACTTTATTACCGTTGGATTTTCCTGGTGAGTTTTCATATAGAAAATTTGACATAATTCGTAACACCTATAAGGAAAGTTTTTTATTACCATCTCTTAGATTTATGATTGTACATCGACTTTCTAATCGTGTATATCATGATGTCGTTTTTTCTGATAGAGACTCACGGAAGTGGATTAAGATTGTACAAGCGTATCTCTGTGATTGATTCTGTCCATTATTGTTTATCGTCTGAGGAGGGCTCAATCCTGGAGCCGAAACTAGTAGCGCTAAGTTAATTTTAAGTAATTTTTGGAATTATATATATTTTTATGGTTTTTATAATTAGATTTTATTTTATTTTATCACTTAGAACTTTAACATTACATTAAATGAATTTATATTTTGACTCTTACATCGCCCTTGTTATTTTATTTATTATTGTTATACTAAGGGTCCTTGATTATTTTCATCTTATTTGTTTATACACGTTGCCATGCGAAAGTTTTCTCTACATTGAAGGAAGATTGACCGTAAAGAAGAAGGACGAAGAGACGCCAACAACGCTTGGAAATAATTGCATAGCGTTCATGTTTGATGAAATTCGGTATGAACTCAACAGTGTGGAGATTGATCGCAACAGAAATGTTGGAATTACCAGTACCATCAAGAACTATGTATCGCTGACGTATGACAAGTCTTTGATTGCGTTGAACGCTGGATGGGATTCTAGATCCGATATAACGGAAGGTTACTTTAACTTTTGCGTACCGCTCAACATGCTGTTGGGCTTTTGCGAGGATTACAAACGCGTGATTGTTAACGCTCGCCATGAATTGATTTTGATACGAGCGCGCAACGATAACAATTGTATACTGGGAAATCCTGCGACGGAACCGGAGGTTGAACTGATCAAAGTGCAATGGCGGATGCCTCATGTTATGCTAAACGAGATCAATAAACTATCAATGCTGCGAGCATTGGTAAGCGGTCGTTATCTCAGTATGAGTTTTCGCTCATGGGATCTATACGAGTATCCTCTGTTACAGAGTACGACGAAGCATTCATGGGCTGTCAAAACGGCGACTCAACTCGAGAAGCCACGTTACGTTATTTTTACTCTTCAGACCGGTCGAAAGAATATCATGTCTCAAGATGCAAGCGTGTTTGATGATTGTAAATTGAGTAATGTGAAGCTTTATCTCAATTCAGAGTTTTATCCGTACGGTGATTTGAATCTCGATTTCGACCAAAAGAGATACGCTCTCCTATTTGATATGTACGCGCGTTTTCGTAAAGCATATTACGGAATCGACTGCTTCGAAACGCTGCTCAATGTACTCTCGTTTATCGAGAAAGGACCGTTTGCTGTCATTGACTGCTCGCGACAAAACGAATCCGTCAAGAGCGCTACCGTGGATGTGCGAATAGAATTTGACTGCAAGGAGAATGTACCCGCCAATACTACCGCCTATTGCCTCATCATACATGATCGTGTTATCGAATACTGCCCGCTGTCCAAGGTAGTGCGCAAGATTATGTAAATTGCATCGTCAGCAATTATCTTCAATTTAAGAGAAATTAACACTGACATGAGTGCAGTTTCGAATAAATGCTCGTCATGATCATACCAACGTTTGTGGATCTACAAGGATTCGTCGTAGACAAGAAATTTATCATCAAGGAAATAGCAGTGCTCAGAAGAGGAACTGTTATCACACACTACATTATTTCATGTCCTATGCCATGGAATTTACTGACAAGATCCGACAAATCTTGCGCTTCCTGGTTGAGTGCTTATCACCATGGATTGCGATGGGAAAACGGGATGGTCTCGTACAGCATGGCGAAACGTCTAATCACAGAGGCTGTAATAGAAGACGATGAAGCTCTCGTATATGTAAAGGGGCTTGAAAAACGACAATGGCTATCCGATATACTCGATTGCGATAATGCGATCGTTGAAACTCTAGATGCGCATTACGAAGATGTAGAATCCCTACGTAATATAGATGCTTGTAATACAATACGGTGTGGAAGACACGCTAAGAATTGTGCTTTGCAAAATGTATTTAAAATATTCAACTGGTGGTCGCAACACCAGGAATAATTGTAAGATTTTTGAAAAAATTGTAAGATTTTTGAAAAAATTGTAAGATTTTTTAAATAAACACGTTTTATTTCCGTTATCCGTATCACCCATATAATAGATATAAGTCAAAAGTAGACTGGTAACTGTATACAATGTACCAATAGCTGCTTGATATCTGTTTATAGCAGTTCGATAGCTGTTTGATAGCTGTTCGATAGCCGTTCGATAGCTGTTTACAGTGTACCGATAACGGTTCTATAGCTGTTCGATAGCTGTTCGATAGCTGTTTACAGTGAATGGATAGCTGTCTGATAGCTGTTCGATAGCTGTTTACAATGAACCGATAGCTGTCTGATAGCTGTTCGATAGCCGTTTGATAGCCGTTTGATAGCTGTTTGATAGCTGTTCGATAGCCGTTCGATAGGTGTTTACAGTGTACCGATAGCGGTTCTATAGCTGTTCGATAGCTGTTCGATAGCTGTATACAGTGAATGGATAGCTGTCTGATAGCTGTTCGATAGCTGTTTACAGTGAACCGATAGCTGTCTGATAGCTGTTCGATAGCTGTTTACAGTGAACCGATAGCTGTCTGATAGCTGTTCGATAGCCGCTTGATAGCTGTTTGATAGCTGTTTGACAGCTGTTCGATAGCTGTTCGATAGCCGTTCGATAGCCGTTTGATATTTGAATAATTGCGCTTCAAATGCTGCAATAATGGATAAAAAAAAAATTTGGAAAAAACAACAATGTTATAAGTACATAATTAAATAAGTAAATAAATAAATGAAAAATAATAACATTAAAAGAGTTTATATCAGAGTATTCGCATTTAGTCACCTTCTTTCGCTTCCATCCATCCTTATTCGCGCGTTATTGTATAGTATAACGCGCTGCGACAGCGTCATCGCGTGCGACAGCATCACCGCGTGTGGTATCCATATTGAGCATATACGCACTCTTTAAGATAATTAAATGAAAAGAAACAATTATATTATTAATTAGCAAATATGAAAGAAATAATTATATTGTTACTGCATTAAAATACATTTTTAAATAAAGGTATCAGTGTTCTTTCTTCCTTCCTTCCTTATTCGCGCGGTATCGTATAACGCGCTGCGCCAGCGTTTTTATCGCGTGCGACAGCATCACCGCGTGCGGTATCCGTATTGCGCGCTCTTTAAATTATTTAATTCATTAGAACAAAAAATAATGGAAATTATTTATCTTTATCGAATTATTATTATTATTATTATTATTATTATTACTG